CCCGCGCAGTCGGAAGGTCCGCTGTGGTAACATCGTCAACATCAGCTATCAATGTGTTCCAGTGGGCTTCATACCTCGAAGCAGTATGTGCTTCCTTCATCTCTAGCCCCATTCATTCAATCTTTTAGCGAGGATCGCTCGCCCGAGCGCGCACATCCTTCAGTTTTGACTGAGAATCTCCCGATTGCATCACCATGCATCATCTCCCGAGCCTTTTTATTGCTTCCAGTTATATCTTTAAACTTTTTTCGTCACCAGCAGAACACATAGCCTTACTGCTTCAGTTTGAAACCCTAAGCTAAATACTCACCTGCTACTTGCTTTATTGTGGAATGTTGCTTGGGATTCAGAAGTGTGAGTTATGTGCTCATCGAAACTGGCTGGGAATACGTCCTTACACGGTGATTGTTATAGAATTTTTTTAGGTGATGGGCAGTATTTATATGTGAAGCAGCGGGACAGAGAAAAGTGAAGTAGGGCGGAAGTGGTGTAGTGACAAGTGGCGCGCTTACCACGCGAGCGGTCCGGGGATCAAATCCTGGGTCGTGAGTCGCCCGGGCCAACCAAGCCTTCCATCCCTCCGGGGTCGGTTAATTGGTACCAGACTTGTCTGGGAGGATAAAAAACACTGACTTGTACATCGGCTGGCCCCCGCAAGTCATTGTATAGGCCACATCGCATTCGCCACTACGAATGTACAAATGGAAGTAGAATGCGTGCCGCATCCCAAAAAGGGATTGATCAACGGCAAATGCTTTATCCTTTATCCTTTATTTATTACGTCTAGCATTGTTGACATTTCATTAGTGGTGACGTGTTTTTTTTCACTAAGGATTAGGGCGTAGCGTTTAGCCGATATCACATTTTTCAACTCCCACTCCTCGTAGAGTCTCCCCAGGACCCTCTCTAGTTAAAGTCACGTGTTTTAATGTGTGTCACGCTTCTGTGCAAAAACATTAGCACTTTATCGCTGTATGATTTTGGCTTTGGAGTATGCGAGCTCTATTCGCACGGCGAGAGAGGAGGATGTGGAGTAGCACTTTCAACACAGGAATTGCTCCTTTCAAATAGATATTTTACAAATCTTGACAGTTGAAATCTACTTCTTAAACTTCCTTCTTATTACTTTGTTCCATAAGTAGTGTCATTTTCCTCCAACATTTCTTTTCTCGATGAAATTCCTCGTCTTTACTAACCAGAAAGACTCCGAAGAATTTTCGGGCTTCCAACTGTAAGATCTTACGCTTATGATTTTTCCTCAATTTCACTCCAACACGCATTTCTCGTTACTTAAGCCTGTTTCCTCTATCCTTCTAGACTCTTAGTCTATGCCACAGATAAGCCTGCTGTCAAATTATAGGAAAAAGCATAGATTTTCTTAACATCACTGAATTTTTTTTGCTACACATGGGCAGACATTAGAAATTTAGGCCTACGAGGGAACCACATTCTCTTGAAACTTTTGAATTTGTAGAATGTTTTGATGGTTAGCCCCCTTGGCATACACGTCCGACAGTCTTTCACAGTAAAGATAACCTATAACTCAAGGAAACTTGTGTGACTTCTCAAGGCTTTCGACATTCTAATGAAATTCTCGTGCCTCCCTTTTATAGAAACAGCGTCGCAATGCGACCAGAGGAGAAGGCGATACTAGTTTGGTTTCCGTTCACACCAGTTTCGAAATTGTTTTCCACTACATAATTCTTTCAGGTGCACTTTTTGAAAAGGGAACCGCACATACAGGATGACACTGAATTGTTGTTAACTATATCGGTTTCGAAATATTTTCTAGTTCCTTCCTTTGTACTTTTGTTTTTCTATTGAAATGTCCACAGCTCACTTTCAGAGGCTTGTTTTAGGAAAGCGATGATGAGAGGGCATCGCGATGTTGCGACCATTGCAACTTAAAGCGAGAGATTACGATAAAGTGCGTATGCAGCGTGGAAGTACATGCACCATTGGAAGCAGTAGTCAGGGGCCCAAGGAAACGAAATGTTGCGTTTTTGTGGTCAAAGGTGCGCTAGTTGCAGCGTACAAGGCTTGCCATTCCTTTCTGAGCCCCGCCACGGTCTGTGCTCCGCCCCCAGCAGCAGCGCCCTTCGATTGCCAATGTGACGAGATATTCCACTTCCAGAGTGTATCCTATAACTTTTCATGGGATGCGTGATCAATCAAAGCATGATGCTTGCTGAAATGATAGAGGCTATCAGCATAACATGTGCAAACGACCTCCTAATTGGTTGCTAGCTCGTCCATTATCGGAGGTCAACGGGCAAAGAAAGGGGTCCCATTTTGCGCCTTCTTGACGGATTTCTTTGCTTTTTTCGCCACTGGGGCATTATTCAGCATCTCCACTTCCAC